GTATGTCACATCAGTAGAATCCATACATCTCAGGGAAGACCTCAGGCACCGTGACTTAAATAGCTTTGCCGAACTTTCCTTGGTAGTCGCATGTGTCGCGTTCCGGTATTGCAGTAGGAAGTTGTCCAGAAACGCCTCCAAGTCCGCAAGTGATTTTTGATTCGCGGATGCCAGTGCACTCTTGACTGTTTTCACAAGATTCTCAGCCTGACCATTCGAACAGGGATGTCTTGGGGCTGTACGTAAATGTCGACATCCAATGCTATCGAGCCAAGCTTTCATCTCCGTGGCACTGAATTTAGATCCATTGTCTGTAACGAGCACTTGCGGTATACCTTCCCGACTGAAGCACTTCCGAAGAGCCTGGATCACGAAGGATGTTGTTGGCATACTTGTCAGAAATACTTCCGGCCACTTTGAGTAGGAATCAATAAGAACCAAGGCATAGTATCTATTCAGAAATGGGCCACAGAAGTCCGCATGTACCCGTTGCCATGGTGCATAAATTTCTGGCCATGGAGTCCAGTTTTTCGGTTTCGCCTTTACTTTGTGCAGGCACGCCTCGCAATTCTTTGCAGTTGTGCAAATGTCTGCATCCAAATCAGGCCACCAACACATTTGTCGAGCCAGAGATTTCATCTTCTCCACTCCCAAATGGCCTTTGTGGAGTGGCCAACTGCTAGGCTGTCATAGGGACCCTGCGGGATACGGTGAGAGCTATGGTGTCGAACAAAACTCACGGCTAGAGACTAAGAGTCCATTGGTATTATCTACCGGAGCAAATGTCCTCGAACTCTTCACAGGAATGCGCCAATGGGCAAACAGCGACCAATGTCTCATCATGGGGGACTTCAATTCCCCAAGCATCGATTGGACCAACCAACAGTACCAAGCGGGATCAGATCAATTCGCACGCGAACTGATGTACACCTTGCAAGAGATGTCGTTCCATCAACGCGTCACGCAACCAACCAGGACACAGGCAGATCACGCCTCCCTGCTTGACTTGGTAATCTCCCCGCGGCAGTCCAATGTTCAGGCAATCCATTACCTACCACCATTGGGTAGCAGTGATCAGGTCAAGCTGGAAATCTGATGGAATAGAGGCGGCAAGTTTGTATCGAGGCCACATGGCTGACCGAACATCTGGCGGATGTCATTCGAGGAGGCAAGAGTCGCAGCGTCAAACATGTCATGGTACCCCTAAGGTGCATATACGGTTGACAGCGCCTGAGAGACCATAAAGGATGATATTGTTCATCTTTGTCAAACCCTGGCACCACCGTTTCGACAACGGACGCATTCCAGAGGTCCACCTTGGTTTAACGCCAACCTCAGATCACTCTTCAGACGTAGGAACCGGGCTTGGAAATGGTACCGCTCGACAGGAGAGGGTTATGAATGCAACCGGGAAATCCGAAATCAGTGTACGGAGCCCAAGAGATGAAACCGTAGAGAATTCGAAGATGCCCTGGTGGCCGACTCCGTAAAAGCGCCAAAAAGTCTCTTCGCTTACCTGAGAAGAAGAACAAGGGCCACAGCGACCATCCCAGCACTCCTGGATGACGGCAACCTGGTTGAATTAGACGAGAGGAAAGAGGAGTTGTTGGCTTTACATCACCACTCTGTATATGAGAAGGAGCCAGGAGATACCACCCCATCGGTACCCACTGGCACAAGTTCTATTCAACTTGACGAGATAACTGAAGGGGAGGTTTTCGCGGCTCTCCAATCAGTCAAAACCAACCAGTCTCCTGGACCGGATGGTGTCCACCCGTTAGTGGTCAATGAGATTGCCGAGGCATTGACCCCTCTTGTCACACTCCTGTTTAATACGCCCGTCGCGGAGGGAAGAATATCTCAGGAGTGGAAGAAGGCGGTCAAAGTCCCACTGTGTAAAAGCGGACGGAAAGAGGATCCGTGCAATTACCGACCGGTCAGCCTGACATCTGTGCTGGGGAAAACATTGGAGCGACTGCTAACCAAACGGATCCATCAGCATCTGGCATCCAATGGTCTTTGTGCGAAAAGCAACACGGATTCCGTAAGAGCAGATCTTACTTGTCAAATCTGATGTTGGCACGGGAACATTGGTAGCAGAAAAAGGCAATGGGGCACCCTACGGACGTCATCTTTGTTGATTTCAACAAAGCTGTGGTGATTCGGATCTACGAGATCATGCCTGCCCTGGAGCAGCGCGGTACAGTTTCCAGAC